TTTTCACATGGGTGGTGATTTTCATGGTGAACGACTTTTCTCCTTAAATTAGATATTAAATAGATAAATTAGGTAAAAGTATTCACTGTGATAAATATTGAATAATCACTAAAGGGCAAATTCTTCGTCATGGCACTGTATCTAACACACACTAACATTTTGGGGGTCTACTTGATGTTGGCTACTTGGCAGAAACCACAACAATCCATCAATACTGCTGAAGGACTGAGCTCTGAAATGAAAGTGAAAGTGCACATACAAGTCAAAGCATCCTTTTTGTGTTCCTTCATTTCATTTCAGTTTTCCCTAATTATGCAAAGCAAACAAACAATAATTAAGTCAACAAACAAACCTACCCACGAGTTTATAGGCAGGACTGTGTCTCTTTGGGAAAAAGATATATCCGGGCATTTTTGTCCAGACGTCACAAACATCTATGGCAGACATATCAAATCCCGAACCCAGAATCCATTGAATCCAGTTTCTGGTCTTGGATTCTGTAATTTCATTTTCATTCATTCATTTATATTGTAGAACAGCGGCTCTCACCTCCAGTCCTCCTCTACTCTGGACAGTCTTAATTTTTCCTGCTCCAACATTCCTGATTCAGCTAATAAAGAATGTCAGAATTAGCTGATGAGTTGGAGCTGCTACATCAACAGTTCAATTAACCACCAGCGATTACAAAATCCAGGAGTGGAATTTGGATTATAGTCCTATTCAAGTTGAACCTATTTTTCAAAAGAGTCATACCGATCTCTGTTCACTGACGCTGAAAATGTAGGACGTAAGCAGCAGCTTGCAGTGGTAGTGTTTGGCAGACTGGACATCTGCACAGACTTGCAGTGCGTGAACTTCATATTGGAGGATTAAACAAGGCAAATACTGTCCTGTTTCTTTATAAGGAGTATGTGTGTCTGGAGATGCTGCTTCCTTTATCCTTCATCTGTATGAACTGATGAGCTGTACTACATGTTGGACACATTCAGAAAATCAGTTTTCTGCTGATTCCTTATTCTGTAAGTGGAAACAAATACAGTATATAAAACGTGTGCTTCCCAAAGCTGTGCATTGCATGCTGTGCAGAGGGACTGTGAGGAGGTTCCTGTCCTCTCGCCTTCGCAGTTTGTGAAATTAAGAACACATGCAGGTTAATAATGGGGGGTAAATCACTGTTCCTCACAGATCTACCTTCCATGAGGTCTTCAGCTCCTGTCATTTCCCCTGTTCTGCCTACAGTCTCTGTGGAGTGACTAGGAGAAGCTGCAGGCAGTTAAATCTGGACTTTAACTGCTCAAACACCTCCTCAGTGCATCTTCTCGTCCTACAGTGAGCAGGACTGAATCTGCTGTCTGCGTTTGGTGCAGGTTCTGAATGGGGTGAAGGGGAAAAAGCTTGGCTAACCCCCCACTGTAGGCCAGAAAAGAGTAAACATTACGATTACATCCACACAGGTGAGTGGGTAATATCCTTACTCTGGGTAAAGCTCTGATTTACATCAACACTATTAACGAGTGACTTTCTGGGTTTATATCTCCTCCATATTCATTTACTTATCCATACTGCTAGCAGATGAGGATTTAACTGTTTATAAACCTTTAATGAACTGTTCAGTGTATTTAATCATTCTAAATTAAATACACACATATGTACAGTTTTTAATCAATCACCTGTACATCATGTGTAAGTCAGATCTTATTAGGCTTCACAGTATATTCAGTAAAATCAAAATGGAATAAGAGAAAGTGTCTCTTTTCTCATCTCTTCTTACCAGATGGTTTACCAACCTGAAAATAAGTCTCCACTGATGTCGGCTGAATAATGTTCTGGTGGGAAAGCACTAGACATCAAAAGAGAACACAATAAAAACACAATTTCAGTCATGAGACGCATCTAATTCCCATTACAGTTTTAATTTCAGAAGAACTTCAAGCTGGTATTCAGTCTCTTCTCACTACTTTTTGTTTGTGCTCCTAATCACCATCTCGACTGTGTTGCAACTGACAGCTTTACTGTGGTCTGATTTCATCCATGAGCACCTATTACTGAGGAACGTGTTCCAGAGAAACACACAGTTCACTCCCACATGGCTGTTGTTCAAGTTTTCAACAGAAAAAACATTTTTTCTATTGCCACTCGTTCTTTTACATCCCTTCATCTTGTGCTGTGCTGGCTTCACACGAAGGTTTGCTTTTGGACATCTATGCTGACAATCTTTATCAAGCTCTACAAAGATCAATAGACCAGTACATATGAAATTAAGCGTAAGTCATGTTTAAAGACCCCTGCTCAACAATTATGGCAAATAAAGACCTTTGGATAAACTCTGACTTCCTTGAATTTTCCTCTCTCTATAAATGAGGCGCAAACTGCATTAGGTCTTGTTAGGCCTCACTGGCCTAAACCGCATTAGGCCTTGTTAGGCCTCACTGGCCTAAACCGCATTAGGCTTTGTTAGGCCTCACTGGCCCAAACCGCATTAGGCTTTGTTAGGCCTCACTGGCCCAAACCACATTAGGTCTGGTTAGGCCTCTCTGTTGGGCCTCACCAGCCCAAACCGCATTAGGCCTTGTTGAGCCTCACCGGCCCAAACCGCATTAGGCCTTGTTAGGACCCACAGGCCCAAACTGCATTAGGCCTTGTTGAGCCTCACTGGCCCAAACCGCTTTAGGCCTTGTTAGGCATCGCAGGCCCAAACCGCATTAGGCCTTGTTAGGCCTCTCTGGCCCAAACTGCATTAGGCCTTGTTGGGCCTCGCCAGCCCGAACCGCATTAGGCCTTGTTGGGCCTCACCGGCCCAAACCGCATTAGGCCTTGTTAGGACCCACAGGCCCAAATTGCATTAGGCCTTGTTAGGCCTCACTGGCCCATACTGCATTAGGCCTTGTTAGGCCTCACTGGCCCAAACTGCATTAGGCCTTGTTAGGCCTCATTAGCGTACATTAGTGGTGAGATGACAACAGCTGATATGTTGTCTTTGTACTTCTTTCAGTTAAATACAGGGTTTAAATGATTTGCACATCACTGCATTGTTTTTGTTTGTGCTCCTAATCACCATCTCAACTGTGTTGTAACTGACAGCTTCACTGTGGTCTGTATCATCTCATCCATGAGCACCTATAACTGAGGAACGTGTTCCAGAGAAACACACAGTTCACTCCCATGTGGGTGTTGTGCAAGTTTTCAACAGAAAAACAGTTTTTTCTTTTGCTTCTCGTTCTTTTCCATCCCCTCATCCTGTGCTGTGCTGGCTTCACACTAAGGTTTTCTTTTTGACATCTATGCTGACGATCTTTATCAAGCTCTACAAAGATCAATAGACCAGTACATATGAAATTAAGCGTAAGTCATGTTTAAAGACCCCTGCTCAACAATTATGGCAAATAAAGACCTTTGGATAAACTCTGACTTCCTTGAATTTTCCTCTCTCTATACATGAGGCGCAAACTGCGTTAGGCCTTGTTAGGCCTCTCTGGCCTAAACCGCATTAGGCCTTGTTAGGCCTCATTAGCGTACATTAAAATATTTGCACTAAATATCCAGTTCTTCATAGGTCGGGTATCTTGCCACCTTAGGGGGAAATTCTCTTGGAGATTCAGGATGATACACAATGCGGATGCTGGCATCCTCCAGAGTATGGACTTCCTTTAGTCTCAGGAGCAGGAGAGGGAAAGTCCCACTTCAGCATCAAACCACATACACAGTGATAAGGAGTGGACTGCAGTACTTGTGTGCAAATACAAACTAACGATCATTATGATCCATGTTTATGGGAAAAAATACATTTTTTTTTAATTTTTATATATCAAGTTTAAAATTTTGTGGTTCCAACTATGCAGAAGCAGTGATGTGAAGAAGTCATCCAGGGTCAAAGATGGCAGAAACTGAGGCTAGACATCCATCTACGGCCTTCATGGCAGGATTATGTGGACACACTGCAAAGTTCTTAATCTGTGAAATGCATCTTTTTCTCACAGCCTTTGGCAGATCTGGATCCAGCAGCATCTCAAATGAAGCCAGCAGTTTAATCAGAAATGATCAGTTACTTTTGTTATTCTGCTATTTAGTAAATGATTTTATTCTTTACAATACAACCGTATAATATTTACATTACATGTTCATACACAATTCATAATATATCTGCTATGTTATCAGTTAACACAAAAACACTTAATACACCTTTGAAAGACGTTCTTGAAGAAAAAGTAACTAACCATGCAAGCACTGGAGTGCTGATCACTGATATAAGGGAAAAAGCACAGATGTGTGACCCTGAGAAAAATGCAGTTTTAACCATTTCGTCCATGTATTCTTTAAAAAGCCTCCAATTTTTTAAAGATTTTTACTAAATACTAAATCACCTTTATTAAACAGGTAATGGAAAGTCCTCATGTGTGAACACCATCGATGGAGGGGTTAATATAGCGCTAAACAATAACATTACGTCTACCTTTTGAACCGAAGTCTGAAACGAGATGGAACGTTGCAGGACCGTTGTTGAAAGGTAGCGTCACACAACAACATTTTGGTGATCTTCTAAAGTGTTTCATTTCAACAACATTTTTTACAGTGTTATGAATGATGAAACCAGCGGTTGTTACAATGTTGTGACTTTTTGTGTTTGCTGGGAAGCACATTGTTCTTAAAGAGCTCTGATTTGTTCATCTTCAGACCTCAGATGAGCGTCTCTGTGCTACTTTATATCTATATCGTTTTATATCTGCTCTCTTATCTTTATTTTCTTTTCTATTTTAGTGTATTTTTTTAATGCTTGTAACGTCTCTGTGCTTGTTTGGTCTGTTTAGTGAGTTATATACACACATGCACTGACAAAGACAAATTCCTTGTATATGTAACATATTTGGTGAAATAAAGTGATTCTTTTATTCCTTTTTTAAATTGATTGTGATTCTGTGTCTGTTTTTCAGTTTTACTGCATGATTGTATTTTTATTGTATTATTATTATTATTATTATTATTATTATTATTATGGTTATTATCATTATGGTGAGTCAGATCCCCGTCGATGTGCCCAGACACGTTGTGGACATGTTGGCGTGGGATGAGTTTGATGTGATTGGTTGGTTTCTCTTCCTGCGGGTGGAGACATGTTTCCCTGTACAGTATATATAGAGATGCCCCACTGAACATCATTCACTGCTTTCAGTAGGAGAAGAAAGACTGAACTGCACCTGTTTTGCTGCGCAGCTTAACTGTAAGTATTTCGGTAAGTAGTTGTTCTGCCTTGTCTTGCTTTACTGTATCATTTACTTTACAGTTCCACTTAATCCAGCATTTCACATCATCTACAGACAGAAGAGGTAACCAGCTTCAGTTTAGCTTGCTGTTCAAAGATGTACTCCCAGGGATCCTCACAGAGCAGGTATTACTTGGGTGGTGGGTCATTCTCAACACTGCAGTAACACTGATGTGGTGGTGGTGTGTTAGTGTGTGTTGTGCTGGTCTGAGTGGATCAGACACAGCAGTGCTGCTGGAGTTTTTAAACACCTCAGTGTCGCTGCTGGACTGAGAACTCAAGACGTCTAGTCAACGGCGTCCTGTGGGCAGCGTCCTGTAACCACTGATGAAGGATTAGAGGATGACCAACACAAACTGTGCAGCAGCAGATGAGCTATCGTCTCTGACTTTACATCTACTAGGTGGAGTGACAAGGTAGGAGTGTCTAATAGAGTGGACAGTGAGTGGACACAGTGTTTAAAAGCTCCAGCAGCACTGCTGTGCATCTTACTTCACGTGCTTCACATCTGATGTCCAAACTACACAGGGCAGTAATCAGGATCAGGACTTTAATGATGTCCATTTAGGAGAAATGTGACCCACATCTCACAGTGAATAAAGTAACTGCTGGATATGAAAATTACATCAACCCTAAGTTTCTCCTTTAGTTTTTTAACAAGATTATTGCTCCTTTTTAACCATCCATAACTGTTATGTACCTTTTTCTTTCATTTGTTTCTTCCTCATCCCTCCATTCTTCCACGAACTGCTATTACTGTTCCATAAACTGATTAGACTCCTACCCTGTTTAAGTGTATTTAATGAATAATTGAACTACTTATTAGATGTTTAGTTTCAGCTGGAAATATGTGTTGAAACCTACACTACCCCCTCCATCTCTCTATCACTCTCTATCACTCTCTATCTCTTTGTCCCTCTCTATCACTCACTCTCTTTCTCTCTCTATCCCTCTCTCTCTCTCCCCCCCCCTCTGCCTCTATCTCTCTCTCTATCCCTCTCTCTCTCTCTCTCCCTCTCTCTGTCTGTCTCTATCTCTCTCTCTATCTCTCTGTCCCTCTCCATCACTCACTCTTTCTCTCTCTCTCTCTCTCTCTCTCTCTCTCTCTCTCTCTACCAAACCCTATCTAAAGTGTAGGGTAGTTTCGGCTCCTCATACAGTCACAGTCTGGCCTGATCTGCCTGCTGACTCTGAATTATGTGATATTATGAAATCAATAGGCTGGTGTGCAGTGAGCTCCAAATGCTGGCTGTAGTGTGTGAACTTAAAACTGAGCTAACATTGTTTTTTTTTATTTGAGGGCTTCACGCTGGAGCTTGTAGCCTAAACTGATAAGCCACTGCAGCCAGGCTGTATCACACTGATTCATCTACCAGCATGATCAGCGGTCTGAATAAAGAACAAAGCCTGGGGTTCACATTTTACAGGCGTAATCTATTCACTTCCTTCATAAACCCTCACAGTCATATCAGAGCAATGTTAGCCTACAGTATGAGTGTGTTCATAGCTGAACATCTCAAGAAGGCTAAGGCTGCGTTTTAGTCCATATTTCATTTGCATTTTTCCAATGACAGTAAGTTATCCAAGCTCAAATAATAAATTTTGCTGCTTTGGAGGACAATAAATCTGTTTATTCACTTTTCAGCGTAAACAAGACTGCCATCATCCCGAAGAGCAAAGCCAAAGGTGTGGATATCTGCGGTACAGAGAAAAAACATTATATAATTCGCTCTGATCTCGGCTGCTACATGGAATCAACAGATTTCCATACAGGAAAAGATCTTCAAGTTTACAGCTTGCACCCCTGCTGTCAGGGTGGAGACCACTACCTGGCCGATAAAAACAAGTTTTACATCATCAAGGGCAAATCTTATCGCCGTGTGACGGATTTGAGCAAAGATTCTGATGCTGTAGTGTTTGACCTCCACCCAGAATGTCAAGGGGGGAACTTCTATCTGTGGGCTGATGGATTTTTCTGCATAATCAATCTGAGCAAAAGCACATATCTCAAAACATCTGACCTGACCCAGAAAATTGTACAGACTTACAATATTACATCTGATGCTGAAGTAAAGGATGCCCTGTACTACTGGGGCTCAGACACCTACTCGTGTTTTATCAAGCCAAATGAGTGGGGCAGCCAGTTCCAGATGATTAAGTTTTATAAAGGAAATTCTGAAAGTCCTTCTAGATCTCCTGACATGAAACTATTGTCATTTCACCCAGATGTTCTGAACTTCCTTCCCGGAGGGGTGGCGGAAACACACGGCGCAGTGTTTGGGAAATGGGAGCTCATTAAGACGATTCACAACGATTCTGAAACCGACGTAAAATGCGACAAGAAGACAACCCGCAAAGTGGGCTACACCAAGTCCCGAACATCAAGTATAGAGCAAAACTGGAAGGTGAACATAACTGGAAAGCTGCTGCCGGATCTGGTCAAACTCATCTTGATGTCTGAATTGTCCTTTTCAGCAGAATACAGTGGAAAATATGTGAAAACAGACAGTGAAATCTGGACAGATGCGACTGACGAGGAAGAAGCGGTGAGCGTGACCCTGCCGCCCAAAAAAAAAATGTACGTGTGGCAGTACCAGCTCGGCTTCGGCAAGGAACCTGTCCTCCACTGCCGTGACCTGAGATTTACCAGTGTTCCTAATCCCCCGTCTGACGATCCTCTCCCAAAAGCCAAGTAGCATGCTGCTGGTCCTCTACACTTTACTAGAACTCTGTTATGTAACCCTGACATTAACATCTCATAAACATATGATAAATATGCTGTATGTCGCCATCCAAAGGATTTTTAATGGACATGATTTACTGCTCTAGAAAGTCTGTCGATTTAGGCTACGGAAATGGAAAAGTTCAGCAATATTTTATGAATGTCAACAAAACTTGTTTTCTGTTCAGCTTTAGCAGAAAATGGTTGGAAAAAATAAACTGGAAACATTTTTTCAGGAAACATTTACTCATAAATTTAGTGCCTCCAAACACAAACAGCATGGTGGAGAGGTGTAGCTGGGAGGAAGAGCCCAGAGTGTGTTTATAAGGAACGCTGCCTCTTTTAGCTTCCACAGATTTTCTTATCAGTGGGTTGTGGGGAAGTCAGGAAAGGCTTTTATCATAAAAACACATTAACTGGAGCACAGTTAGGCACCGTTATCTCAGGACTCTCCTGAACATTAAGTTATCCATGAGCAGGGAATGTTATAGATGTTTATGGCACGGTTATGTCAGCGTTATGTAGCAGAGTTCAAGTAAAGTCTTCTTCAGTTTTTCATACTTAAACATTCTGCGTTTTAAATCAGAGAATGAATCTATAACAGACATGATTTTATAAAGGAATGGGTTTGTAAATTACATTTGATTTTAATTTAGTTAAGTTAGAAAAGCACAAAGAAAGACACAATAAAGTGTTACAGCATCATACTGAGAATTAACAGAGCTTCTGTTACCAAATGTGCTGATTTTTAAATCGTTTTACCTTCAGGGTCGATATAATCTCTCATATTTAATCACACATCTATTAATATGTTCTGATTCTTTGATGTTTTTCATTATTAAATGCATTTTGTCTGTCATTGTTTTATTCTTTTACTCTTCTTGTATGTATTTTCTAACAAATTTTCATTTCTAGCTTTTTCATGAAAACATAGTTTAATCTGAATCCTAAATCCTCTGATGCTCTTGTTCTTATTTTACTTTGTTTGAACTTGCTTTGTGTTTTATGTCTTACTGTTTTTAATTGCATTATATTATTATTGCATTATATATTATCCAAATAAAGCCCTCACTCAGAAAACTTAATTATGTCATTACACGTTCTATTATGATTTTCAGCGACTGCAATGTTCTTGAAACTTCACTCACATGAAGACACATTAGATACCTGCTCACATTAGTAATATCAGGATGTGTTAATTAGTGTAGGGTTTAGACAAACTCATTCATTCATTGAAAAATATCCTGCGGCCAAAGCCAGTATAATCCATTTTACTAACTGCCCATGACATGTTACATATGAAAGGGTGTAGAGTTACATGTAAACAACTTTTAAGGCATTAGATTTTTTTTCTTGAAAGTAATTCCAAATTTTGTAATTTTGATGAACAGAGATGAGTTTTTAGGGGTTTTATTATTGCCTGGAGAGGGTCTTTAAGATGATTTTCTTTACTGTTATCCTTTTGTTTAATTAGGTTTCCTTTATCATGTTCCTGTAATCCTGAAAAACACTTTTCCTATTAACTTTTATAATCTAATTTACTTTTGAAAGTCAGAGTATAATTTTCTCTTTTTGGGGGTATATTCCATAACAGAAATTATGAATGTATATAATCATGCATTTAGAAATTCTAATCCTATGTGCCAAAATCAAAAGCATCCTCTGTTGTTCAATACGCTCATTTGGTGCAGACCATCGTAAAAATGGGATCACTTGGAAGTGAACTGAGATCCACAATTTTTGCTGGACCATGGTTCATTTGTTTGGCGTGGGATGGAGTGTTCACATGTCAAAATGAAATAAACGTTTTAAACTAAAAAGGTTCAACAGGCCTGCACTAAACAAGATGGATGTGAAAGCAACCTTAGTTTAGCAAGGCAGCATAAATATTAACAACATAATGTTTAATAACATAAACTCTGACCAAGTGTACTAATTTGTGTGTCGTAGTAAAAAATCTTTACCAGGTTAGTGAACACAAAATCACAAAGCTTTCATTGTTTGTGAAATGTCCCATCCCCCAGCTGAAATGGAGATTTTGATTGGTTTTGCCACAGAGAACGACTGACTATCTGTTTGTGTCTATAGGTCAGCGTACCATGCAGCTTAAAAAGAGAGGGTTTTTTTTGATGTAAGCATCCTAAACTTAATCAAGAAGTGGTGGGTCCTCGCCCCAATATTTTGAAAAGTTGTGGGTCAAATGTCCTCTCACCCCACCACCCCACAGCCTCCCATGGGTCTGGTCCAGTGGCCCTGCAAATTTTTACACATTTTAACACACAATCATTTTTTATTGGCTGAATCTGACACACTGGGGGAAAAATAAAACATAAATTGTGGTATGTGCATAAGTTTGGGTACCCTTTTGTTCGGTACTTAGTGACCTACATTTCTTACAGCCTGCATTCTTTCATTCAAAATGACCACCTTTTCCACAGTCAAATCCGGCCTTCTGGTTGTTAGAATTCAAACAGTTAATGAAGAAAGCCACACTTTTTCTGCGCTTCTGAACATCAATCTGAGCAATATGCCGCTTCTTTGATATGACACCGCCTGCTGCCGTGGTCCACATGTGAGCTGTATTTACAGAGGAAAAGAAACTGGACACTAGAGGTCAGCCTGAGCAGCGTGATGCAGAGCTGTAACTGTTACAGTTCCACAACTGAGTCTATTATCACTGCATAAGAGCAGAGAAACCCAAATGTCCTCGTAGAAGCATCGCCACTTCTGTTAAAAGGCCAAAATACATAATCCCCATAGAAAAGCACTACAATTAAATAAGATGCTCTGGAGTAGATGCTCCTGAGCCTATGCCCACTACGCCCAATGCCAAGTGTGGGCTTGAAGGGTATGAAACCCCCAGCACTGGGCCATTGAGCAGTGGACCTGCGTTGTCAATACCTTTGGGAGAACTTTATTTGACAAATTCATTAAATATAACAGCCTACAAATAAAACTAAATACAAACATTTCTTTTCTTTCTTTTCTTACAGTTGCTATGTTACCACGCTGAAACACCTGATATTGGCTGTCTGACTGTGTAGCTTTGAGCATGATTGGTCAATCTCACTGTCATCCAGGAAACTGGCCAATGACAGCTGAGTGCCTTTCTGTCAAATTTGAAAATGCGTCTGTTAGAGAGGGTGTTCTGCTGCTGGTACTTGGTCAGTCCATTAGCAATGGCTGTTACCTGGATTATTACCTGGATTATTTTACATCTGCCTGTCAGATTCTTATTCTGAGTGAATTTGAGTTTTAGATTCAACAGAGAACAAAAAACTGAATATGGACAGAGAAGAAGGTCAGACGGATTTGTTTGGCAATGTCAGGTAAGAAAACATTCTCCGTTATTTTCTGTAACAGCCGAACGTAACGTTATGTTTTGTGTTCATGTCTTTAGTTTATGTAGCTCAGTCTAAAAGTGAAGTTGGCTGGACAGCAGTGGCTGCTATGACCTCAGTAACGTGTGAGTTAGCACACTCAACCAGCACGAGCAACACAACTGCTGGTCTTTATGAAATTTAAAATATGGTGAAAATTAGCTTAATAGCAGAGGTCAGCGTTTGACGATCATATCAGCTCATCTCTCCCCCTGACCGCTATGTGAATCACAAACAAACATGATGATGTTCATCGCCTTCAGGGAGCTTAACGTATGGTCTCTGTATTTTCTGGTATAAACAAAGTTTTATTAGGTTTTTCATTTAGTTCACATCTGTTCAGTCATTTTGTTGAGTGCATTATTAAAGCTGTAACCTGTTAATATGTGTCCTGAACTGAAAAGCTCCAGGCAGCTATTGGCTAGTCAAAATAGGTGTTTAGTGCTGGATTCCTCAGAAGCTGATTCTCAAACTGGGGGTGTTCTTGGACCCCTACTTTTCTTAATCTACATCTTACCCCTTGGCCAGATCATTCATAGCCATGGCCTTAACTTTCACTGTTATGCTGATGATATTCAGTTATATCTCAGTACACACACACTCTGAGATCCCCAATACACTAATTGATTGTATTTCTGATTTAAAGCTCTGGA